GCCCCAACCCCCCCCCCCCCCTTCTTTAACTCTTAAACATATTGATGGGAAAGGAGCATATGGAAGCCACAGATTTTTGGGGTCTCCCATGTCCATACATGGCTGTGCTGAAAAATGCATGACGGGTGCACCTGGTATGAACAAGCTCTAACACCAAATTGACTTGTAACCAAAACCTCCTCATTATTAGTTGGCAAGCTTGAAACATTTTTGATACTTCCCTTTCTAGCAGACCGTAGTGGAGCATCTTAATCGATTTGCCAAATTTATATTATCACCTGGATTTTGTGAATTCTCAGTGTAGAATTCTTTCATGTATGGTTCCACTGCTAAAGTGTTCTTGAAGTTGACTATTAAGGGGTTGATCCAAAACAATTCAAATTGGATGCAAAAATCCACACCTGATATACTGTGTGCATCGTGGCGCTTTCTTTTCTTCAGATAGTATGGAAGTATTCTATTAGGTTCAGCTGCTTTCATAATTGCCCTGTACATAGGCAGGGAACATTCACTAAAGGGTTAGTTTACCCAAACTTGAATTTCAGCTTTAGGTTGATGCTGGAGAGTTGACTTCATCCACATGCTGCCTGTTTCTTCTTTGAGGGACTCTGGCACAGGCCATATGTGTATTTTGAGGGAATCTTGTGTCGTAATCTATCCACCCCACTCCAGACCAGAATCCGTGTACCTATCGCACTCTGAACTGCTGCTCCATGAGATCAGAAGTGGGTGCAGCAGGTGTCAACGGGTGGTTTCCGTCAAAGTATAAGTAAAGGATGAACACCGGCACTCCAAAGCAAACCCAGTACGTCTATTTATTCACGTACTTGTTGCAAATTCAAGATACAACGTTTCGGGGTCTCACAGGATCCCCTTCACTTCCATCCTTTACTTATATTTTGAGGTACCCTGGCGCAGGCTGCCGGTGTCTTTTGAGGGACCCTGGCGCAGGCTGCCGGTGTCTTTTGAGGGACCCTGGCTGAATTGTGAACTCTGCTCCCAGGACATCAATCTGCATGAGTCACTTTCCTATTACATTTTCCTCATTGTCATTATGCTATGGACAGTGCAGCATGAAGAGAGAATTAAAACATGAGAAACAAGAAAGCAGTGGGTGCCTCAACCCTTCAACATCTATAAAACTGAAGTATCCGTTTGAATGAAGTGACCTTTTAAGCCATATTTACACCTATCCTACTAGCAATCATCTAGTGAATGGAGTGGAAGTACATTTTACAGGCAAAGTCCTGATTAGCACCAATCTGATGTTGAACATCTTGGATTGCTCTGCCATGCTGATATTTGGCCAGTGCCTTATTCAGTTGGGTCATATGAGGCTTGGGCAAATACACTAGTCTCCTCTGCCTAGTCATATCTAGCAGCCAGGACTGCTGGGGCATGACTAGCTGGAAAGCCTGGTCTTATTTAAGTCAGTGTAAGCTTGCTTCAGTGGATTTCTGCATCCCTTCTGTCTTGTGATCTAGTTTGCTAGTGCATTGTGGCCAACCATCCTTCCTGAATCGCACAACATAGTGGGTGAGTTGTTCAGCTAGCCATGGCCGCTGCAAGTAGGATGATCTCAATATAGACACAACCTCACCTGTAGTTCTGAATAGAAAAAAAATATATATATATTTTACCAAAGAGGAGGTTATGAAAGGCACTGGACTTTTTTTTCCCCCCCAGTTACATTTAAGGGTGAGCCCCCTCCCCTCCCCCCTCCACACAATTTGGCTTTACCCATTTTATGGTAGATGTACGGAGGTTATATTGTGGATGGGGTTGATGTCAATGAATTCCGACTAGATGCTACAGTTTCCATAACGGAGAGAAGATGGAGGCACCCAGGCGGCCTTGTTTTTGAATCGCCCTAAAACATTTTTGGGTAGAAGAACCAGATAATAGTCTACCTCCCCTACCCTCCTCAACTATATCACATAAGAAATAATTTGCTGTTGCAGTAAAGGACACTTCAGCGGCAACAGGAAATCTGGTCTGGTGACATATTGAATCGTTATTTGCTGTCGATCAAGCATCGTGTATGGGGCTCATTCCATTGTCAGGCCACATTGGTACTTGTCATGGGAATGGCTTGTGTGACACTGTAGCTGTATAAAAAGGATGTGTCTTGCTCACCTGGTCAAACACCCGTCCCTCACTGCACTTTTGCCAATTCAATCCATTTTAGATGTAACCTCGGGTATGGTGAAAGACCCACCGGACGTCTTGGACAGGCAAAAATGCCTTGACGCTCTGGCTGCTCTCCGCCACGCTAAGTGGTTCCAGGTTCGCACATCATTTTACTTTCTTCTTGTAGCCTTATGAGAGATTAGCACTATCACTGTTTTAATTTGTTGTATAGTTACACGCTTGTTTTGTAACAATGTTCCTTTTAAAAAAACGAAAAGAATGAAATGACCAGAAGCATGGAATACGAACTTTTCAAATGTGTATGACTTCCATCCTGCTGTTTTTTCATTGCCAATTTTTGTTTGTTTTTTTGATTTGCTCCATTTAATTTATTTTTTCCTGGTCATCGAGTAGTCATTAATGAAAGACTGACTCATTATTACACATTTTTAATGTTCCCATCATAGACTGTGTTGTGAATCTGTATTATTCCATAAGGCTGCAGAGTATCTTTGCTTAACAGATAAAATTATAACTGCTTCCTGTTTTTAGCTTTAAATGATTATTTATATTTTTATTTCAATCTTTTAGCGTAGGAAGTGAAAGGTACCAAGAACCTATTTGGCATTGTGACTTTGCTGTACCGCAAAGCCACAGCACAACGCCAAACAGATTCTGGCCACCTTCCAGTCCCTACTTGTGTTTTTTCATGTTTTTTTTTATTTTTGGTTCATTTTTTTTTTTTTCTAGCTAGAACTTTGTTGTTTTCCAATGTAAATGTGATTTCAATTCCTTTTTTTTTCTTTTTTTTTTTTCTTAATGTCTACAAGGCTTGCGAGTCAAAGTTAACAGGAAATCACAAAATGTAGTGGGTTTTTTTAATTTATTTTTTCTTAAATGAATAACCGTCTAAAATGCCGCAGAGATCGGCAGGCACAGCAGTGTGCTTCCCGTAATGGTGTTTTAGTCTCATTGATCTGGCCAGATGATGTTGGTAACTTGTTACTGTTCTTGTATGCAAGGCTAGAGCCAATGGTTTGCAGTCCTGTGTCATTATCATCCGTATCCTGCGTGACCTGTGCCAGCGTGTGCCAACGTGGTCTGATTTCCCAAGCTGGGTATGTACTTTAAAACCTGTTTGAAGTGTAAGCTGTGTACTCTACTTTTGTTTTAAAGTTGGTCTGTATTTCCACACTGTGACTTTAGAAGTGTTGAAGGCCAGACCCCTTGTACATACAACCTGTACTCTGCTGGTCATAACATGTAATGGTACAGTTTAATCATCGGCATTGAAGAGATTGTGTTTGATCTACAAGTGATTACTTTTACCCCTGCTGAGCTAAAAAGAGAATGATGGCCAAACCCTTTTTGGCATTAGTTCTCTTTTAGGTCATATGAGTACATTTACTAATGTCCTCCTGTGACCCAAAACTCAGCAAATAGCAGGCTATTGCCCGTTTATATACTGACAGCTGCAGCCGGGAAGGAACCCAACAATGTTATCGGGATCCAGCCGCTGGCTGATTGACAGCTGGCTCTGCCTCTCTAGAAGCAGAGCCAGCTGTGCCCGCCCTCTCCCCTGATCCTCCAGTCAGGAACGTAGATGGTTAGGGATCCCTGCGGTGACTGACACTCGTCACTCTCTGCAGGGAGAGGATTGTGAACCAAGTGATCAGTGGTTTGTGATCGCTCAGTTCCAGGTCAATAGAGCTGGCTTATGACACAGTGCGGCGTCATATGTCGCCTAACTGTGGGGATAAGTGCATTTCACTCATCCCATAGTTCTCCTTTTAACACATGCTTAAGCATGGCTAGTAACAGATTTCAGTTGTTAGCCCATAACAGGAAGTTTTTTGTTTTGTTTTTAATGTGGCCTAGACATTCACTTTAACAGGAGTAGCCTGTTCTCTTACTGTAGGAAGGGTCACTTGGATATTATGTTAAAGGAGAACTATGAGATGAGTGCTTTTCACTCACCTCATAGTTCTAGCCGACCTGTGACAATGAGACTGTCACAGGTCGGCTCAGTAGATCGGGAAGTGAGTGAACACATACCGGCATTCGCTCACTTCTCAATCCTGTCACGGCTCTCTGCCGTGGCTGGGTTCCCCCCCCACTCCGATTCGCCAGCGCTGACTGGCGGAACAGACAGGGAGGGGGTGGGTACAGCTGGCTCTGCCTCTAGGTAGGCAGAGCCAGCTCTCACTCACGCAGCTGGGCGGATCCAGACATAATTGTCGGGATCCGCTTCAGCTGCGGCGTCTCAGTATACCGTGAGCTGTGGCTCGCGGTATACTGAGCTTTGGGTGACGGGAGGACGCTAGTTTGTGTCTTCCCGTTACCCTAAGGAGAACTATGGGGAAAAGCCCTAACCCCATAGTTCTCTAACGTTCTCCTGAAGCCCTCTGCAACCAATGACAAATCTCTTGTGTAGAACAGTAGATATTTTCCTCTTTCCGTTCTAGTGAGAACAGTTCAGGGTTAGATTCACAGTTGGGGTTTTATTGCTGCGCTTGTGTGGGGGAAGAATATTCTTTTTCTGACAGAAATGTTCTCAGATGGTGACACAGCACTTACTGTAACTCTGTCCTTCCCAAGACACAAGAAAAATGGGAATCTCACATATACTAATCCGTTTACTGTGACCTGTTTACTGTTCGTTACGGCCAGCATTGTGCGTTTTTCAGTGCAGTTGGGATCTTCCACAGATGTACACTGCACATATATTTTACAAAATGCCTCATCTCTGCATTCTATAGGCAATGGAGCTATTAGTGGAAAAGGCGATCAGCAGTGCTTCTAGTCCCCAAAGTCCAGGAGATGCCTTGAGGAGAGTTTTTGAGTGCATTTCATCTGGTATCATTCTGAAGGGTAAGTCTGGTAAGTCTGGATTTTAATGTATCTTCCTTATTTGATTAAAGTGTAGCAGCTGTCCATGTCATATAGTAAAGCCTAAATCCATGTTAAAAAAATAATCATGTTTTTCCCCAGAGGTGCTAAACTGAAAGCGAATTCCATAGAGACCTTATAAATGAGGGACTTCTATGATAAAGTAGGATTTGGATTCATGAGGGATCAGTAGTGATTCGTATTGTTGTGTAACTTGCCAAAGTGTTGAAATGGGATACACATACCCTCAGCAGGCTCAGATGGCACCATATGATATCGCCACCTGATCCAGCCAAGAGGATGAAGTGACTTATTCATATAGGTTCCCTCAGCCAAAGGCAGCAATGTTTCTTACTAAATGCAGTCACAAATAATGTCTCTTCGTGTTGGTATACTTCTAGTAAAAGCTGATCTTGGGTTTTGTCAGCTACATTTCCTGTCTTTAGTGCCCTGGAACAAATACACATCTCAGTGTATTCAATAAAATACTTTGTGCAGATCCATCGGCTGTCAGTGGAAGCATTAGCAACTAGGAATGTCCGGATACCACTTTTTAAGTACAAGTACTTGCCCTCATGTACTTACCGATACTTTTTCTTAAAGGAACATGTGACATTTTTTTTTTAAAGCAACACAGACAGAACACATCCCCCACGGCAGAACAGTATTCTGCCTTAGGGACATATGTTCTGCGAATATATGTCTCTAAAGATGAATTCTTCTCACCAGGCTGCTTGTCGATCCCACCCGGGCGACATCCACGTCCGGGCTGGCGGTGCTGCGACACGGCCTCTTCTCTGTCGGCCGACCTCACCGCTGCTGGGTCCCCCGACCTCCATCCTTCTCCCGGCCCAGTACTCCCCTGTTAATGGGTGTCAGAAACCCCCAGCTTCTATCCCTGGAGCGGCCGCTCCGGCTCCAGTGTTCGTAGTTCCGCCCCTGGGGCTGTCCATGGCTGTGCCAGCGCCAGGAAGGAGGAGATAAAGAACCAGACAAGCACTGCCATAGGCAGCTATCTGCAGGTCCCCACAAGCACGAGAACTCAGATAGCCGCTGCTGTTTAAAAATTTAAAGGGCCTGTATCGGCCTTAATCGGGTAATTTTCATGAGTACAAGTATCTGTATTGGGACATCCCTATTAGCAACATGTAAAATGTCACTTCCTGTTTTCAGTTTTATTTGTGTGGCTCTGTCAAATGTGATGTGAGCAATGATGCAAAGGTGAAAGTAACATTGCCCACACTGATTTTTTTTTTCTATCTATTTCTTTTTTCTGACAGCTGGCCCAGGCTTACTTGACCCTTGTGAAAAGGATCCTCATGACACTCTGGCTACAATGACTGAACAGCAGCGGGAGGATATAACCTCCAGTGCACAGGTAAATGGGCTTGGTCGTAAAGGGAGCTTGTCACATAGAAGAGCATGGTAATCTAATCACTGATCAGTCCTACATAAAAGCTCAATGGACGATTCTCCAGAATAAAGTTTCTAACTACAGAAGAGACGTAGGTGTACTGGTCTCACTTGAGGCTGCTATCGCAAATATCCACCCCATACACAGATGCATTTGTCCTGGAGCAGGGTTTCCATGCAGTAGTTGCCAATTCTTTGTGCGCTTCAGCATAGGACTAGATCTGTGTGCAGTGGAGGCTGAAAGGCCTGATTTGCGCGTGCACTAACCATTCTGAGTGCCTGACTAGTATTTCAAAATGCTGACACTGGCGTTAAATATGCTTTGCATTTGTAAGTGATAAAAGTAAAGAGTTTTGTGGGATAACTTAATTGGTGTTCTGCAGAGTGACTGCTTTACCCTCTAGGGCCCATTTGCAGGATGTGTTATAGTAACACACAAGTTCGGCTCCATTCACACGGTGTGATCTGGCATTTCTGTGGCAAGGCGCTACGAATTCCTGCAGCAGGAATGCCAGGTGTCCCCGTGCCCATCGATGTAAATGACAGGGTGACTGCGTCCGCATGCAATTGTACATGAACAAACGTAGAGTTGCCTTGTCGCACTCCTTACCGGAACAAACCCAATCAAATAAGGGGGGGTGGTTGTAATGACTGCAGATGGCACCGCCAGATAATACAGGTAAAGGGATGTCACCAGCACACCAAGAGTATTGTAGTCCAAAGTGCTTGTTTATTTAAAACGTCCTGTCATCAGAACTAGCACTTTCGGGGCCGCGCAGGGTCCCCTTAATCAGGCTCGGTGATGAGCCTGATGAAGGGGGCCCCGAAAGTGCTAGTTCTGATGACAGGACGTTTTAAATAAACGAGCACTTTGGACTACAATACTCTTGGTGTGCTGGTGGCATCCATTTACCTGTAATTGTACATGGGCGCATCTATCCTGTGTCCAGCGACAGTCCTCTATTCCAGAACACATGTAATCTTACCATGTACTATTACATGCGGACTGCTACTTACAGATGCATCCTATGCCACCTTACTATTTACTTCAATGTGTACAGAGGCTGCATCTGACCAGGGACACCTGCTGCAGGAATATGTATCTTCTTGCCACAGGAATGCCGGATCACCATGTGTGAATGGAGATTAACACATAATACTACAACACACATTGTGAATGGGCCCTAAAGGGTAAAGCAATGAGGAATATGTTGATTATATGCACTCTGCAAAACACTAATCAAGTCTTCCTCCGGGAGCTCTGGTTTCCTCCCACACTACAAGGACATGCTGGTAGGTTAATTATCTCTGGTCTCAATAGGGCCCTGTATGTGTTTGCAATAAGGACCCTAGATTGTTCTTTGAGTGCAAGGACTGATGTGAATGTGCACAATGTAAATCCCTGTGTAAATTGTCGTCGTCCCTCTATAAATAAAAATTCCCCAGCTCTACCCAGAATTATTCATGAGAAGGTGATTTGACTGCCAATCACTAACCCTTTGCTTTGTTTTTCCCCTCGCCAGTTTGCACTGAGGCTCCTTGCGTTTAGACAGATTCACAAAGTTCTTGGTATGGATCCGCTGTCCCAGATGAACCAGCGCTTCAACATTCACAATAACCGCAAGCGAAGGCGTGACAGCGACGGCGTGGACAGTTTCGAAGCCGAAGGGAAGAAAGACAAGAAAGATTACGATAACTTCTAAATAAGGGCGCAAAGATGCCGACTCATGCACAGCTTGTGCTCCGTTTCCCACAAAGATACATTTCCACTGACAGAGGTCTTCCATCGTGTCTATGGCAGGGTTACATGTCCTGGCACTACTTGGGTGTCTTGTTGTTACCTTGCTCTGGACTATGATGTAGAACCTCTGGGGTTGTTAATAGATTAAAATATTTGTATAGCTGTTTAAAATTTTGAAGCGACTTTCCCCTGGCCAGACGGAAATATATCCTCGGACACAATTCACTGTTCAGTAAGGGTCAGGCACGTCTTAGACGTGCCATCCTTGTGTCATCTGGATGGGCTTTCTTAGTTAAGTTTTAGGGCAACTGGGATGCCCACTCACTCCCTGTGCAGTGTCTTTTTATCTTGTAGTTGTAGTATTTAATTTTCAGTTGTGCTTCGGTTTTGTGTTTTTTTTTAATTTGTATTAAAAAAAAAAAAACTATATAACAATAAAAGGCAGCAGGGGAAAAGGGACCGCTTCCATTAGTTGTAAGTTACTTTATTAGATATGGCATGAGCCTTCACTAATCCTTCTGAGTTTCTGTAAATCTATACACATGTACGTATTGTGTGAGGACTAAAACACATCTTTTTATTTTTTTTTTCTCGTGTTACAATTACAGCAATCGGAAGTAAAAGTTTTTGGAAATCTCGTGGCATTAGTGTCAATGGTTTATCTAGTTGTAACTAAGGCAGCTTCCTGTCTATTTGTTTGCTCTTAGTTGTGCTAAGGACAGAGTAAAGCTAATATATTCCTTTGTTACGGTATTTCATACACTGACACTGCCAGTACTGCATGAATGCAGGGTTTTTTTTTTTCTCATTTTATTTTTTTGAATAGAATGGCTTTTATAGTACTAGGTCTTTGCAAATTTACTTCAAGTGTTGATGTACAGCAAAAGGCTAATGTGAACGAAGCATAGAAGCTCAGTGAATTTTAAGTCACCTTCCAAGGCCCAACAGGCACCGTATCACAAGTCAGTTGGAACTGTGTGGCTTGTGGGGATGTTAGAAAGATAATCTCACTCAAATGTTCAAGTTTCAGCGTTGGTTGAAGGATGATGGTTGCATTTTTGTGCAATTTTTGGCTAAGTCCCAACATTTACTTAATACATGATTGATTTCTGCTTTTGTGACACCCCCTCCCCTATAGCTGATCTATGCTGTACGGCAAAGCGTTTGTGGACACCCGACCAGCACTCCTGTATGAGCTTCTTGGACATTCCAAAACCATGGGCATTAATGTGGAGTTGCCCTCAGTTTGTGGTTCTAAACCATTCTTCTGAGAAGGCTTTCCACTAGATTTCGGAGTGTCTTTACGAATATGTGCGCTTTCGGCCAAAAGAGCATTTGTGAGGTCAGGTACTGATGTTGGCTGAGAATACCTGGCCTGCGCTCAGCGTCCAATCTTCCTGAAGTTGTTCAGTAGGGTTGTGCAGGCCAGTCTGGTTCCTCCACACCACACGTGTCAAGCCCTGTACAGGTACACTTAAAAACAAGGTCACGCAGGGACTCCTGTACACACACGCACAATCACAAACACACAAAGGTTGAACTTGATGGACCTGTGTCTTTATTCAACCTTAAATACTATGTAGTAACTATGTATGTCCTTCTGGTGCTTCCCTTGTGCACAGGGACACAGTCCTACTGGAACCAAAAGGGGCCTTCCCCCAAACCGTTACCACGATCTTGCAAGACAACTGTCTCTAAAATGTCTGTGCCCTTTCAGTGGAGACGCCTCAACTCGCATGCTTCTGGCCACATAGGTAAGCATGATGGTCAGGTGTCCACAAATGTTTGGCCATATAGTTAGTAACCTATACATTATAACTACGTTTGTGTGCCCCTGCTAATGTTTAGGATATATAATTGAAGTAGTGATGGATTACAGGCGCTTGCTATAGCTGTAACCAACTGTGTTGGGTGCTCAGTCTTGTTCTTAAGCAATCACAAATGGCAGCTTTACGCTGTACTGTCCTCTCTGCCACTTCCATCAAATGCATATTCTATGTCTAGGAGAATGCAGTAGTTCCTCTTTATCTTTAAATGTCAAATTGCTAAGAATAGAGCAATAAAAGGGTTGGGGTGGTGACCACCACACTCGGCCTCAGTAGAGGGGATGGTCTGCTACTTGAAATTGGAAGAGCTCATTGTAGCCACTAAGGTCTACTCACAGTGCATAGTAGAATGCAGGAATGGCACCCATAGTTTAATGTCTCATTGGGATAAATAGAGCAATAAAGAGGTAGAGTTGTGACCACCACCACAGATGCACCTGCAGCATAGGGCAAGGTCTACTACTAAAAATGGAAGAGATGAGTGCAAGGTGTATAAGCTCTGATTTACACCCGGCATGGGAATTTCTTTCATAGTGGCTGCAACTGTTCTTTAAATTTGATATTAAAGTTAAAAGATTTTGAAGCGGGTCCAGAAGCTGATGAAATTGCATACAATGGATGCTGCTCCTTGATGGTTAAACATTTTAGTTTCCTGCAGAATCAGCTGGTCCCCTAAACGTTGTCCCTGATATCCTGTTTTAGGGCAGCTCCTTTCTATGGAGCCATCCTTGTGTGTGCTAGTAAGCTGTGTGTGTGTGTGTGTCTCCACAAACACAGGAACAACAAGGCAAGGCACTCCCTGCTCCTCCAAGCTAGTAGATGGACTGTTGTTGGAGACTGCTCTCAAGTACAAGTCATCTTGTACTGGACAGGAAGTTCAGGGAAACCAACATGAGACATGGAGCTGTTCTGAAACTTGCCGGCTGTAATTGCTTGGGCAAAGATGTAGAGAAATACTTTGCTGGGTGATGTATATTTGTTTGATCTGGATTCATTATTGAAAAACAAATTTCAGTTTAGTATTGTTTAAGAGCTTGGTCACAATTCCATAGTGCAGCCAGATGTGTACACTTTGTATTACTCCTACAGTATATTGGGCAATTGCATATCTTGTAAGACCCTATACACACATACATCTGAGGTGGATCGGTAACAGCCTTGTAAACTCCTGTGTAAGTCGCCCCGCTGTCTTTGTATTGCGGTGTTCATAGGAATTTGCACTTGATGAAAGCAGTATGAAGCGGAGTCGTCTTATATTCTGTTTGCTGTTTCAGTTCCTTTTGCTGACCAAACTAACTTTGTACCTTTTTTGTTTTACATTTAGGTACATAGTTTTGGTGGCAGTTTAATTCATATCGCAAGTTAAAGTTCTTCTGTAGTTAAATTGCAGCCGTCTCCATTGCTTGGGATGTCAACTAGGCTGACAGGTTCACTTTAAAGTGACTCTAGTGTTAGGTTAAAGATGACAATAAATGGTCCCCTTGCCAAGAAGAAAGTTCATATTTAGAGTAGAACTCCTGGCAAATTAAGTCTTAACCATTGCAGTAGGGCTACCCCCTCACTGCAAGGGTTAAGTGCTCGTTTTGTGTATGGAGCTCACCCTAATCATGATCCCAGCTTGCTCCTACACTGCTCTTTCCAGTCTGTCTCCTCCTGTTCAGCGATGGTGTGTCCCTCAGTGCCCTCATGCCCTATACACTTTATAGAACATGACACGGGGCATTAGGCTGCTGGAGCGGAGGCTGAAGGGAGCAGTCTAAGAGCCAGCCAGGATCAAAGCTTAGGTGTGTATAACCTTTTATTTTAGCTCCTTAGACAAAACGAGCACTTAACTCTTGCATTGTGGGTATAGCCGGCCTGAGGGAAGTATAAACTGGGACAGGTACAGCCTGTAATTGTGTGCAGCCACCTGTACATCCCTATTACAGGCCATGACTACACACCAACCTGAACCTGCACAGCTGTGCAGGTCTAGGTGAATGCACTTTCACGCAGACAGTTTGCATCCAAGTGCATGCACAGATGTGCACGTCTTGGTGTGTCACCATGTCCCTGTGAATAGGGCCTTAGGGTGCACTTTGTTAATTTTTTTTATTGTAGCAACAGGTGATTTTTAAAGTGTCCGTGGACCCCAAAAAATTATTTTCATATATAAAGGTTTAGTAGCTGAATCGCCCCCTGGCTTTTTACATTCTTTGGGTACTCAAGAACTGAAGGCTTTGTCGTAGCTCCCACCTCTGTTCTTTGTGGCTCTGGACTCTCACTCCTGATGCCGCAGGGTGTTCCCAAACCTATTGTTCTATGTACAACTCCAGCAAGAAGTGGGACCCTCCCTGCAGAGATCTGAAGGCTGCTGATAAGGAAACTGTGCTTTACCTCCTTAGCGTTTACTAAAAATGTCTGCGGTGGTATTGTTATGTCTGCCCATTTAATAGGTTCTGTTCTTAGTAAATGGGAACTGTACTTTACCCACAGTAAGCAATGAGATGGATTTACTGGATGGCAGACTGAGTTTTGTAGATTCTGTAATCTATACTTGGGTTCCCCATGTTCCCAGTCCTTCGATTTGCTTCCCCCCCCCCCCCCCCCCCAAGCCTTGTTGTGGTAAATTCTGAGAAACAAATATTTTATAGGAGCTATGCCTGCCCCTCTGGCCTGGTACATATATCATTGTATTGTGCAAAACAGGAGTATTGTTTTCCCGTATCTGGAGGTTCTGGCTCTTTATTGGGCCCCAGCAATGGATCACTGGAAATAGAAGTACAAAATGGCTGCAGTAAAGTGAACCTGTTGTTTTGCCTATTGTGGGTGAAGAATAGGTTTACTTTACAATCGATCTCTAACATATAATCTCTTCCAGTGAACAACATGCAATAGTTTCCCTTGTAGATGAAAGGTGAAATCTCGCCTCGTTTCCATTTCTTTTTGTTCACAATAAAATTGCCTTTTTTTTTTTCTCATGTATCCCCATCACCCAAAACACCAGCGGCTGTGCAGGAGAACCTTCAGAGTGGCTGACCATCTCCCCCCACCATTTATAGATTGATAGCAGTAAGAGTGTTTTGCTGATTGGTTTGGTCCGGCCTGCCTTCATGTGTCATGTGTGAAGCTAATGACGGTTATGTACGATAATTTGCATCATACTGTTCATGTAAATTGGCACTAAAACCATTTGTTGTCAACACTGCAGTGAAATAAACCTGAAAAGTGGACAATCTTAAGTTGGCATCTCTTGTGTACGCAATTCTATTACATATGATAATCTGTGGCGTTATCTAAATGGTAACTTCCGTTGTTACAGCGGTGGTGAATCTGTCACATGAGAGGTAAGAGCCCGGCATTGTAGACCGCTCCACTCATGCTGCCATTGCTGAGTAAGCAGTACTGAAATGTGACGGCTCTTTCATAAATTGCTAATAAGCTGTGTGTAGTTTGGAATGCTGGACAAGACAGATCATTCTTCAACCACAATTTATTAAAGCCAACCTGTGCGTTGCCACGCAGGGTAAACAGGTTCACTTTAATACCGCCCTCTCCAGCAGCGCATGCTCCCATTTCCTCCGTTCCCCAATGTTTTGAGGTGAGTGAGATGAGGAAAGAAGCCCTGTGTAAGCTCAGTGTCTCTGTCCCCTTTATGAGGGCTTGAGCACTTGCGTACCCAGCATGGTCACATGATGGTGGATGTCACATGCTCCTGCATGGACAAAGTACAGATTTACTTCTTTGTGTCATGCAGGGCAAAGTAAAAGATTCATCTAACTTTTCCTGTTAGACTGCTGGGAGTGAAGTGACTTTTGGGTATGAGTTGGCA